ACCGGAGGCGTCAGGGTTCCAGGTCTGCAGACGCTTCGGTGACAGATTTGCCCCCGGAATTTCATTTTCTTTCCTATTATTTTCCCCCCATGCGTAAAAATAAAAAAGACCAAACACAAATCCACAGCGTCTCTGGCACCTACCAGTCCTCACAGTTACCGAGAGTCCCGGGCGCTGCCCGTCCCTGGGGAAAAGGCTCTTCCTCCCCCCCAGGAGCTCAGTCAGATTTCTCCTTCTCCTTCATGTGCAGGAAGACAATGCTGAACATGAAGAGACCAACCATCATGGAGAAGGCACCGGCGTAGTACGGGTACGCCGAGGGGATGAAACGTTCATATTGCGTGTGCTGGAGGGGACGCACGGACACCTGGGAGGGGAGAGAGCGGCGGCGTCAGCCGAGTGGCCCAGGCACCCTCCCCCTTGGGCGACTAACTCCCGCCCCGCTTACCTGGGTAGAGGAGTAGAGGTGGGTATAACCCAGCCGGTTATAATCCACTTTAAACTGAAACACTCCGTAGACGTCCGGCAGCTTGAACTGCACGCTGTATTTGCCGCCTGAGAAAGAGACCGCGGCGACGTTGGGGTGGGAAGCTGTGGGAGCCACGCCGCCGAAAGCGCCCCGAGGGAAACCTACCGTTCCTCTTGAGGAAGGTGCGCACGAAGGGATCGATGCGGACGAACTCCAGCTGAATATCGTCTCCGTCAAAGGGGACCCACTTGCCGTCGGAAAGCTTTTCGATGACAATGCTGTACTCCTGGAATGAACCCACAACGCCTCAAGTTAAAGAACCATGCCTGAAAATGAACCTTGAACCTACACCAAGCTCAAGTTCTCCTCAATTCCCTCCTGCCTGCGCCGCGGGCTCCAAGCAGGCAGCCTTACCACGAGGTCGGTGACGGTGTAGGCATTGGGCGGCACAAGTTCCCCCACGCGGTGGTGGGACACAGCGCCGACACGCAGCACCCCCTCCTCCTTGAACACCCAGCGGGACAAGGCAACAGCCAGCTCGTAATTACCCGTCTGCGAGTATCTGTGGAGGAAGGAAGGTTGAGGAAGGACGGCAGCCATGCCAAAATAGGTGTGAAAGCAATAAAAAGCTAGCTGGGGTTTAAAGAAGGGAATTGCTTCCCCAAGCACTTTGTTCCACAAGACCAAAGGAATATGTCACCCCTAATTTATTTCGAGCTTTCTGCCACTTCCCATAACATGAAAGGCCTGGGAAACAAATATTCTTCACCAAACAGCTCCCAGAATATTCCTCAGCCAGAGATGCCAGGAAGCCAGCATACCTCTTAGAGCCAGGAGTAGCCTTCTGCACAGCAGAATTGAAGAAAGCATCGCTAAAGAAATCCAAGGAGCCACTGAAAATAACACGGGCATTGTTCCGGGCTTGGAGCCCCGCGATCAGAAGGGTGTTCTTCCCGACTGCATGCGGGTACTGAAAAGAAGCATGTTTAGAAGAGTGTTTAGCCAAATTAGGGATGATTAAAGGAGAGTGGAACAGTCTGTAGCTAGCAGAGTCTGCAATTAAGTAGAAAGCAAGAAGCTCAGAATAACCAGTAATGGAATTCACAGCTTCTGCCCTCTCCGACTGGAATGAAACCAGGAGATGCGCTTTGATCTAGGTTGGCCTTTCTTCCAAAGCATCCCTCACACTGGACACTTTCCCAGCAACTAAAACCAAAGGAAGATTCCCAGGGCAATGTCAGAAAGCAGACAACAGCCTGACCCTTTCAAAAAAATCTATCAGGGGATTAAACACTCCGGCTTTTTTCCTCAAGTTGCTGATATTTGAGGGACTTAATTGCAGCAGTATAACCCAAAAGAGAAGAAAAAGTCACCAAGCGTACCTGAGTAATAGGCTTATCTGGGAAGAAGGAGTAGGAGGTAGAAGAGCCGGTCAGGATATCCAGCACCAGCGGGTTGTCAGGGTCAGCCACCATCCTTGCAGGGAGAGGCACGGTGAGCAGCTCCGAGAGCCCCCGGGCCCCCCACACCCAGAGGAACGCGCAGCTGCCAACTCAACCACACGAACCTCCTCACCCTTCAGATGTGACAAGAGGACTGCAGAGCTCACACACACCAAAAAATTAAATATTTCCCCAAGCTTCTCTAATTTACGTTAAGGAACGTAGTTTTGCTCCATTTCCCCAACAACAGCAACCTCACCTCCCTTCCCACACCGCACTGCAAGTTGCTTACCCGACTCCTCGGAAAAGGATGGGGTTCAGTGCCACCTTCCCCACAATAGTGGGGGCCTTCAGGAGATTTTCAGCATCTGCAACTATGAGCGTGTGCTGGGAGAAACGAGAGAAATTGATGCAAACGTGCTGCTCAGGCAGGCAGGTTGATGTTTGTCAGGTTTTAACGGCAAGAAACAGCTTCTCTTGTTACTTGAAAGTTAACTTTGTTTTTACAGACAAAACTGAGCAGCTGCTGTTGGATGAACATTACGATTCAATTAAAAAGCAAAAAAATCAGCATTTTTTTGTTTAATTATGATGAAATTAAATTAATACTGATAGATAAGGAAATGTAAATCACCTTTTGATAAAGATAGCAATACCTACAGTATTCTTCCTTAAACTAGGACAATATCCATACATTGCTTCAACAGTTTAATTTAAATAAAGATTAGGAGAAAATATTTAGTTCAAACCTTAATACAGGTTTTAATTTTAAAGTACTGGGTGACACTAGGGGGAAAAAAAGAAATCATAGAAAGATGTACATTTCTATACTGATCTCTGGGACTGAAAATCTCCCCACACCCAAAGCCGTCGCACTCAGTGACTGATGTGCTTCACCCACAGGCAAAATTCCCCCCCACACACGTCAGGGTGGTGCAAAACCGCCATTAATGTTGGTGTGACTGCCCGAGGCACGGCGGCAATTTGAAACTGTAATTTGAAAGATCAAACGTGGGAAATTCAGAAAGATGGATTTGAGGGCAGAGACCCCAAATGTGCAGAGCTTTGCAGTGTCATGACATCACTCCCGAGAGCAGCATAACCAAATGCTGTGAAGTGGCATTATTTATGACTTTCTGGGGAGGAAGATGGGAGAGCAGAGAACGGATAAAGGAAAAAAAGAGAAAACAAGGACAGAAGATTCATCCCTTAACCTCTACTCCTAACTTCTCATTAAAAAAAACCCAAAACGTGCAGGCAAACCCATTTACCTGGCCGGGGTCGGATATATCGTAGTTGTGATGGTCGATGACAGCTGTCCTTTCCTCATCAAACTCGATCCCACACTCACTGCCCAGCTCTCGCAGTGGGTCACCTGGAAGGACAAAAAGGATTTTCTGTTATGTAGCACATTCAGGACACAAAGCTCATCTCAGCACTGAAAAAAAAAAAATGTAAATTCAGCTTAGAGTTACACATTCGGCACTTCACAAGCCAAATCCCGAGGAGCATCACAACCTCTCCCAGCTAAATTCCCACTGAAAATGTTGATAAAGGTTTTTTATCATCCATTTCCTTACAGCACAAACCTCGAGGCTCACAACGAGAAACTGTTTTTTCACCAGTTATGTTGCAGGAACTCAGAGAAGGATGAATAAACTATTTGCTCACCACAGAGTGTAAGCAGCATAGGTGCTTATTACAGAAAGTGGCTAAAATATGTTAATTTGCTCTGACAAACGTTTGTACTTACCAATGTCAGAGCTGGCGGCAACAAGGACACTGCCGCCGCCATCGATGAAAGCGGTGATAGTCTCCACGTTGATGTTTCCACCAAAATCTGAAAGCACACATGAGAAATTCATTGCTAGCTCTCAGAAATAACACCATGACAGAATTAAACTATAGCAAAACACCAAATGATTTCACTTGTGGCTGAAAGAACCAGGGCGAAAGGCCTGGACATATCTGCAGCTTGCTACCACGTACAAGACACAACGGATAACATCTAAAACTTAAGATTTAACAAAAATTCACAAAACAGTTGGAAATCCCATTCAAAAAAATGCCACCAAGCTGCTAGACCACTCGAGTTTTCCCCTCCTGTATTTACCTTCTATGGATGGTGAGAAGATGATCAAGTTGTCATACAGGAATTCTCCATATTTTATCAGGGACAGGCCTGCATCATCTGCTGTCCGGAAAGTGAGATCGAAGCCCCTGTCTGCATCCGCAAGACAAAATTGACTACTTTCACATTTCACAAAATCAACACATGTAGCAGCAAAGCAACATCAAGATTCTGAGTTTTATTTCCCCAATAAACAGCAGTGTTTTGGGAAAAAGTGGCTTAGGGCTTTCTGGGAGCACCACCAGGATGTTCCCACATAAAACCCAGGGGATCAATCCTCTGAAGCTCCCCTTTGTTTCAAGCATGCCCTAGTGACACCCATCAAGCGGGGACCCAAACACAGGCACGACTGAAGAAACACACCCGATCTCCTCCCTCAGCCCGGCCAGGGGACCCCAAACAAACACCCCCTTCTCCCCCAGGTAACCCCAATCTCGTCCCTCAGCCCGACCAGGGGACTCCAACCGCCCCCCTCAGAACCAGGAGACCTCCATCTCGTCCCTCATCCGGGCGCGGAGTCCCCAGCCGCCTCCCCGAGCCTTACCCGCCAGGCTGCGGAAGAAAAGCGAGTGCGTGTCCCGCAGGTTGCCGTTCTCCAGCAGCACCAGGGTGCGAGGCCCCCCCTCCGCCCCGGCGGCCGCCGCCACCGCCAACAGCCACCACATACAGACCGCGGCCGCCGCCATCTTGCTCGCCGGCGCCAAGCTGCCGCGGAAGCGGGCTGGCACGAGCAGCCAATCAGCGCCAGGCGCCGCTCCTCCGCCTTCCAATCACCGACGGACAGCTCCCCGACGCCGGCCAATCAGCGGGACCCTGTCGCGGCCGCCGTAGGGCCGCTGAGGGGGAGGGGGGGGGAAGATGGCGGCGGGGCCTGGGCGGGCAGCGCGGGGCTCGTTCCCACCCTCAACCCCTCCGCCCCGAGCCGGAGGAGGCAGATTCCCAGTAAAAGACCTCAAAATGGCGGTGTCTGACTAGTTTATTGCAGCGGGGGTACAAGGCGCAAGCGAACATAGTGACAGCGAGCTCACCCTCTGTCCCACACTCCAGTGCAGAGTGAGGGCGGTTTGGTGCAAAGCCACAGAGATTCGGCGTCTTCCTGCGTTGCCGGACACCTCAGCAGCGGCGGGGTCAGAGGAAGGGGCTTTTGGACTCGGCTTTGCCCTTTTTGCGCTTGGTGGTGGGGGCAGCTGGCGGGAGCAAGGCAAGGGCCTGGAGGCGGAAGGGCCGGGGCATGGCGGAGCCGCTGCCTGGCCCCAGGGGAGCTGGAAGAGGAGAGGAAGCGGAGCCAGAAAAGCGCTTCCTTACAAAAATTAGAAAGGAAAACGAACAATCTGTAGGAAATGGCAGGTTTTACCTCGGTTCTTGGTTGGGTCGGGGTGGAGGATGCGGCTGGTCCGCCTGGGTTGGAAGTAGTTGCTGGCGATGGTCTCGCTGTCGCTCCTGTTCAGCACCAGCCTGTAGCGGTCTTCCTCGGGCTGGAAGCGGAAAACGCCGTCAGCGGTGCTGGTCACTGTGCTAGCCCCTGGGTTATGGCTTAGAAAAATCGACAAAAATCGGTAAAATACGATAGAAAAAAAGGAGGAGGGATGTACTGTACCGTTAGCTGTCGGCTGTCGGCTGTCGGACTCTTTTGCAGAGTTTTGGGCTGTGGCAGGGCTGGAACTGCTGTGAGCAGAGACGGGCATTACAGGGTTGTAGTTTCTAGAACAATTAACGCTCTGCCAATGCCCAGCGCTGCCCTGGTCACCGGGCTCACAGAGATTCACGAAGGATCCATACTCCACATCACGTTAGGTGATGTCATTATTCAGACTTTCTGTAAGCAGCAGATTTTACAAGCAGGTGCAGCCCAAACATGATCGGCTGAGCCTGGCAGTAGCCACATGCCAACAGCACCATCGAGACACGCATCTTACCTGCAGGCAGGCAGGTTTTTTGAATGACTGGCTCTGGAATTTTCCAGCAGCCAGTTTCCTCATCCCAGACAGATTCGCGCTTGATCTTCTCCAGATTACTGTAGTTACAGTCACGGCGGATGAGGGACTGCACCTGATCCAGCAGCTGCTGGAAGAGCATCAGCTCTCGCTCCAGGCGACGGATGGTGCCAAGGTAATCGATCTTTTCCAGCTCAAACTCCGACTGCAGATCTCTGATCTCGGTCTCGGCAGCCCGCAGCTGGGACATCAAACCAAAATACATTGTTGGGATTATAAAGGAGAGACCAATGGTTACTGCGAGTACAAGAATTTGTCAGGCAGAGGGATGGAAAGACCCACACAAAAACTTTGATATTTGGGAATATTTCTAATTTATAGTTAAATATTCAGATGAGATTTGTGTGGAGAGATTATTCCATGTCTGTTTTAATAAAAGATTTCTCATGTTTCTCCAAAGTCTTTGAATGGACCTTCAGTTAATCTTACTAGTGTGATTGGTGGCCAGTGCTAATGAACTCTTGGGAGTTCCTAACTTTGATGAAAAAAGTGCAATATTTCTTTGCTAACCTAGATACAGAAATAAAGCAAATTCTTAACATGCAGATTTAGAATTGCACACACAGAAAATTTTTTTTGAAGCTACTCTGATTCTGACTGAGAGAAAAACTGTTTTTCAAGTGTGCCTAAAATTTAAGATCATTGCTTTTATACTTTTTTCCCCAGAAAACTCTTCATGATGTAATTTCTTCCAGGAACCCAGGTGTGATACCTGGGCTGATCAGAACTGGAGAAACTGTGCAATAGATTGCATAGGTCAGTAGAGGGAGTCACGTCCTCTTCCATAACCAGACATCATCCTTCAGCACAAGGAGACGAGCCTTGAAAATAGGTGGGGTTTTGGGTTTCAACAACTTCATTCACCACGCTGAGGGCTGCTGCATTTGATATTTCATAAAAGTAAACACAAGCAACCTTATAAGTACTAATGCAGGCATGCGTACGAAATATTAGACACAGCCAGAGTCATTCTCTAAACACACTGCCCTAAAACATCTCCTGAATCTTTAAAAAAAAAAAACAACAGGTATGCAGAAGAGGAAAGAGACTCTTCCTGAATCTTCAGCAGGGATAGCAGGGAGCTGCTCACCTTCTTCTGCATCTTCTCCAGAAGCTTGCTCTTGGCTCGAACCTCCTCCTGGATGGAGTCGTAGACGTTAAGCAGAACCCAATCACTGCTGTCCTCGTTAGATTGCTGCAGCGCGGCCACCAGCTGCATCCTCCGCTCATCTGCATATTTTTTCCGGCGTTTATGCTTTTCTTTGAGGTCCTTGTTTTTAGCCTGTTCCCCTCCAACCACCTGTTGCTCTAGCATCTGCAGCCTGGAAAAGGCAAATGCTTCTCTTAGCTCAGCACTACAAAGAACCGTCTGTGTAAGTGTGGAGGATCCACGTCCTTACCTGAATGACATTTGGGAACACACAGTACAGAAAACAGTGATTTCTGATGAGATTTGCTGCCCTGAGTAATCATGGCAAATTCTACTTTTATTAGCACTTTCTGTCATAAATACTCCTGTGGACCCAAGGCAAAGCACATGCTATTCTGAGCACCTCTATCCAGAAATCTGTATCTATGCTCACAGAATTTTTTTTAAAAATCCTGTTTTGTGGAATTTATATTTAAATTCTTACTGATACATATGTATTGGATATAATATTTCAAATCTTACTTTATGCTTTGAAAGACTCTCAAAACAAGCACAAAATGTGTCAAAATTGCACAAAGTAATATTTTAAGTGATGGATGTGGGAATTGTACAGCTGGAAGCCATAGTACAATTTTCTTTTAGGGGCAGTATTGGCCAGGGTGGATGACTTGGGTGACTTCAGCGTTGCCCCTTCAGCACAGGCACAGATCCATGTTTGAAATCAAGCTCGGCTCATGTCCACGCTGCACAGCCCCGTACACTCCAACACAGAAATAAAGCCACTCTCCCAGAGCCATTCTCTTTGTCTGCACGGGGATCTGCAGCAGAGTAGATGGCTCAGGCCGGTCAGCACTGGCTCAAATTAGAGAAAATCCCACTGCTGTTAAAAGCTCCACTGATACTAGCCTCTTAATTATCTTCAAACCCATCCGAAAGAGCTCGTTCTCTACCAGAGATGACCTGCTATTCTACTTTGCTGCACTTGCCAAGTAGCCTTCTGTTTCATTTGCTTAATGCACGATTGAATCCTTGCTCTACTGAGCAAGTATCAGAGATCTCGCAGCCTGCCTGATGCATAAAGCTTTTAACAGGTGACTTCAAAAATCCCCATGCCTGCGGAACCAAACCTTCCTGCCTCATCTGCAGAGAACTTTGATTTTAACAATGTAATTAGAAGAGTATTCTACCCTTGTTTGTCACAAAAAGGAATGCTGCAATAGGACTATTAAGATTTGATAGATAGTCAAAACGGATGGTTTCTCTGGAGACCTCTCTGTTAATAGACAGAATTGCCCACAAATTACATACACTGCTTTCCTAGATTTTTTAATAGCTGCTTCTTCACCTGGGAGAAGCCCAACAGAGCAAGCATATACCATAGGAGCTCACAATAAACCTGAAAGACTTGTTAAAAACCAAAAGACTTTTCAGAATCAAACTCCATCATCCACAATATATCTTATGTTGATCATTTCTTATTTTAATATCATTCCACACAATAGAGTAAAAGAGAGAAATCAGCAGAATTTGCTTAAAAGTGTGTATTTCTGAAACAGCCCAGGCAACCCTCACATCCCAGCCCTGTACTCCAAGCCCAGGCTCTAGTGCTGCCCCTAAAATGTGATTATTGGGAAATTTTGATGTTGGTTCTGGTTGACATCTTGCAAACATTGTCAAATGCATGACTCAGAGGCAACAGTGACCTCAGAGACAAGGGAGAGTCGCGGAGGACGCACTCTCCTCCACCCACACGCACAGTGAGCAGCAGGAAGGCCTGCTACCTTACTTGTACTATTATGAGAGGGCTCCAAGTGCCCTTCAAGAACCATTTTTAAGAGGAAAGGAGGCCGCTTCCATAACCTGTTTGGGCACTTAAGCTCTGTCAGATACGGCCAGTCTCTACTTTATAAAATCCTCATAAATTACACCTGCAAAAAGCCAGAGAAGGAAGAGTCTTCCCTGCCTACAGATCTAGGCAGGATTTGTTATCAGGAAAGCACGCTTTTTTTGCATCCACATCTGCTGACACAGCCATCTCCAGATTTTTCTTTCTTAATTCTGGCACTTGGCATTATTGAACGCCGCAGCTAACAGCTATTTATCTGCACAAAGAGGACAAAGTTAATTTTGGGGTAAAGAACACTCTTCTGCCTAGTTTTGTGCTGTGCTGAACTGACAGCTGAAGCTTGACAGTTGTAATACCACGGAAGAACAGGGTTGCTTCTTGCCTGTATGTGTTGTAAGCAGTGCCCAGTTAGCAGGAGCAGCACAGTCACTGACCTGGTGAGTACCTGCTGCTGGTCTGCGGGCAGTGAAGTCCCCTCGGCAGTGACAGCCACTGCTGTTCCAGCACTCCCCCTGCTCACACCACCACCCTCTTGCACAGCCCGAGGTGCTGCTGGGTCCTGAGGACAAGAGGAAACCAAAGGCTGTGCCTCTGAAAAGACGCAGTGTGAGGACCAGGCTAGATGAAGCATGACGCTATCTACTTGGGTTTATTCAGCCCAGGCAGGTAAAGTAACCAGGGGGGTAAAGTAGTCTGAAGGGTACCTGGGCTGATGTTGGTTCTTCATCTGCTGCAGCGACAGAGTCTTCAGGCAAAGGTGTCTCACCAGGAGCAGTTTCAGTCCTCATGGCAGCTGAAGAGTAAAAGAGGAAATACCCACAATGTCAGGAACGAGCTCCGCAAAACTAGAACACAAAACTGTGAAAACATCACACATAATCTTCACCAAAAGCTAAAAACTATGTGTCTGGAAGGAAAAGGTCTGTTATTTATACTGGTCAGTAAAAGCCAAAGACCCAGAGGGTGTATCTGGTAAGGAATGCAGATTTTACAGGGTGGGGAGAGCCTTGGTCCTGTGTTCGCATGCAAATAATCTATTTCAGAGGCAGGGGGGTGCATGTTTGTAATCAGAGGGGGGGGGGGGAAAAAAAGAACCTCTCACCTTAGAAAGTGATAGCATCAAAAATTAAGAATATAGGTTCAAGAATTAATATTGGGCAATAAGTGCTGTACAAGCACATTGCAAAACAGGCTCTGAGGCACTGCGGAAGTGTAAATGAAAAGCAGCAATGAAGAGGAGAGCTGACAACAATTTATAGGTATGTGAGAGGAATATCCACCCTCCAGCAAAGCGATGGTGTTGATAATCCACTGGGAGACCAAGGGCTGCATCCCATTTGCATGCAATGGAAGAGACTGCTGCAGCCACCCTCGGCTTGAGCATGCAAGTTGTGCAAAGCCAATTGGATCAAGACAGAGCAGCACCTGCCGAGACCAGTCATTTCTGCAGCTCAGACCTCTGCTCCAGGGAAACGCTGCCCTAAGTCAGAAGAAACTCACAGCTATGTGTGCAAAAATCGCATTTCATTGCCTTAAGGCTTAGAGGGTAGGGCCAGGCCGGTCCCGATAGGGAAAAGAAGTTGGGGAAATAGGGAAGAGGACAAAGCTGGGGCAGAGAGTCTCATGAGTGGCCCAGGAGAGACAGAGTTACCACTCCTGCTGTGGATAAGGCAGGGTTGAGATCAGGGACTGCTGTCGCTGCCATGTAGCGCTTGCTGCAGTAGCAGTCACTGCCACTTTAAAGGTTGCAGTGTTTGCCACAAAATGTGACTTTGCAAAAACAGCCTGTGTCTGCTCATGCCTAAAGCATCAGGGAGTGCTCAGCCTGCGCTGCACACCCTCCATCTGCCTCATCCACACCTGCTTCCTTCCTGAGGTTCTCCTCGAGAGCAGACAGCTTGAGATCATAGTGATTCCTCAGGCTACTGATGTCCTCTTCGAGGCGGACACGGGATGCCTGCTCCGCTTCGTAGCTGGCCTTTAGTTGGGCCAGCTTCTCTTCATACTCCTGAAAGGCACAGCAGACAGTCTGATGCAACAGCCCTGCTCCTGACTGTACACAGGGTCATGTCTAGGTCACATCTTATGTCCACCCCAATAAATCTTTACCATCCTGTATTCATTGACTTTTTTTGTGATTTAAGTTGACGCAGTATTGATGAAAGATGACCGGTTAGCCCTAGAAACAGCTGTCTTGGGCAGATGAGGTGCCCTAGAAGGATCTTTGTAGAGAGCAAAGAGAGAGTTTTATTTCCTTCTGGCCCCCAAACTCCCCATTCTTCCTCATGGTTCCATAACCCCTCTTCATCTTCATCCTTGTACTGCTCTTAACATCTTTACTGCTTTCCTCCTCCCTGTTTCTCCCTCTTCTGACAGGAGGAATCACATTTAGTTTCACATGTAGTTACTGCAGAAGTTCTTGGAAATCCATTCCAGTTCCTTTCCAGAGAGGTGGGAACAATGCTGAGAGAAAGTGGCGTTATACGTGAGGCCATCAACACAACTTCTGTCCACAGAAGCCCAAGGACCAAAAAACAGGAAGAGAAGTGTTCTGAAGAGGCTGAACCACACAGCCCTACACCATATTTGTAATTATTATTATAAAAACCCACAAGCCATGGCCAAAGACGTTCAGAGATACCCTCTGTGACTTACTTCTCTGATCAGCTGCTTCTCTGCTTCAAGATCTAACTGGGGTTTGAGAAGGGGAGCTGGCTTCACTGCCAGGTGAGCAGTCTCAGCAGGCAGAAGCCCTACAAAGCAAAGCAGAAATAAAAATCACTCACAGTTACTGGGTGGGATTGTCTGTAGAATGCCTGGAAACAGAACAAAGAACCTGGCTGCCAGCAAAGAACATCGCACTCCATGCGCTACTTTAAACTGTGCTTGTGTGCCAGCATCTGTGCTGCCAAAACGCCCACTGGCCTGGGACTCCATAGGTGTGGGGAGAGGAGTCGTCAGCACTGAGAAGAGGGGGGGAGGTTTAAGCTTCAGGTATATGAAAGCGAATATAAATTTAATCTCTTTCACAGAATAACAGGAGAATTTTCCAGGGCTATGCTAACAGATTTGGAAGATAAAAGACACTGGGAAGGTGATGAAAGGTGCAAGGAAATTGCCTTCTTTCTTCACAGCTGTTTCTGAAAGGTGACAGAAAGGGGGGAAAAAAAAATAAATCTTACAGCCTTACTCCTCTGCAGAAAGTTGCCCTTTTTTAGGAGATAACTCTCAAAAGGTGATCAGCTCCCTCAAGACTGCTCTTACCCATTTGTTACCACATTTGCTATTCTTACTTCATAGCAAAAAGAGAGTCTGCTGAGGCTGGGCTGAATCCTCAGAGAGAGGACAGTGCCGCTCTCCATCAGCAGTTCCATCAGCAGGGCAAAACTTTTCTTGTACTGTCAAAATTTCAGCGTAGGAGAACAGGGGCTGAATGCTACAATTTGAAAACATGTATATATATTTAATAAAGAATTTTACATTATTGTTTCTTTCACAGCTCATTTTTGCTCTGCCAGCTGAAACCTCTCTTCTGTGACTGACCAAATTCTACCCAGAATGACCAAGAAGTCTGAGGATTGTAGTCACATCAGCATTTCCTAACAGAATTTGTCATTCTGGAATAAGGTCACATTGGCAACAGTGAAGGAAAAGTTCATTACCAGAATGGAGAACTCTTCCTCTAACAGTTAAGGGAAAAGTTGAGGTGAAATCCAGTGAGCATTTTATGTGTAAAAACTTCTTTTTTCTGTCAAAGATAAAACATCTCTGCAGCCACCAAGGGCTCTCCTACCTGACAAGTTATTTGCGCCCATCTGTTCAGCTAGAATGGCCTTCAGCTTCTTAATCTCCTCCTGATACTCCCTCAGCAGAGCATCCTTGGGGTCCTCGTTGATACAGGGCTTGTTCCTGATGTTTTTCGCTCGATTAGCATAGCGCAAAGTACTGAGACTTTCATCATAGTTATTATCAGCTGGAGATAAGCATGCTACCATCAGCGTCTTGGTATTCCCTCCAAGGGAGTCTTGCAGCAGCCTGGTCAGCTTTGAGTCTCGGTAGGGGATGTGCTTACACCTGCCATCGACCAGTGCTGAGATGACGTTGCCCAGAGCTGAGAGGGAGAGGTTGATTTTGATGGCCTCTTTGAGCCGCTCCCCTGTGGCTCCTGTTTTTGACTGTCTCTCACTTCCTGCCAGATCCACTAAATGGAGTTTTGCAGCCCTAAGGTGGTCCTGCCCTCGCTCATCTGCAAGAAAATAATCCTGGGTTAGACTCTTCTTAAGAGGAAGCATCTTAACCGGCAAGAACTAGGACTCTCTTGGTGTTGCGTTCCAGTTCAAGCCCTGCTCTTTGTCTGCATTTGGGCCCTGACTCCCTTAAGTAAATAAATACCTACTTAATCTTAGAACTACACATTTTAGTGCTTTCTTGAATAAGACCTGGCACAGTAAGAATTCATGCCCGTTCTTGCTCTCCCAGTGAGCTCTGAATACACGCACCCCCCTGCCACATTTACATCCTTCTACAGTGTTTAGAATTGCACACAAAGCCCTCTGCAAGTAACAAGGTCACACCATGAGTTTCTACAACTTTTTTCCTCTTCAGGTTGTTTCATCAATGTCTGACAATTGTAAAGAAGGGAGGAAGCATGAAATGAGGAGTCAATGGGCAGCAGCTAGAGCAGGGCTAGCTGGAGAGCACAGGCAAAAGAGCAGGCTCCCTGAATCCCTACAGGATGTGGAGACAGGCAGGAAGGTCATCTCTGCAGACTACCATGGAAAGGCTGGAGTAGACACTATGTTGGGAAACAGTTTTTCCATGACCTCCCAAACTACAGCTTTTCTCAAGGTTGGAATCCAACCTACCCTAATCAATGGTCATATTCAAGAAGTTTCTTGCTGCGCTTCAAAAGAAAAAGCACTTCCTATCAGTTACCATCAATGTCCACCATCTGGCTTTCTGTCCCAAGACAGCTTGAATGTTCAAGAAGCCCAGCAGATCTCCCCTCTCGCCCATATAGCTGTAAAACTGCACCGTGACTCAGCACACAGGCATGCTAGGCAGCATCTGTTCCTCCTCAACTCACGACATTCTCGGTGAGAAAGTAATATGAGGGAACACAGGCGAGAAACAGGAAAACTGCAAGAAATTGGGATTGCACTCAGTTTAACCCACCCAGTTGAGGAGCTGGATCTCAGTGAGGAGTCAGACCCAGTGAGCCAGTGCTATTCCGATTGTAATGCTTTAAGGCAAGAGAAGATGTGAGCTGAAGTTAACAGCTAGCTCCCCCGTTACCTGGACACATACCTCATGTATATAATATCTGCTTCCCACTTGCATTTTGAGGCCTGATTAACAAGACACAAATACCCCATGACTGAGCAAGCGTGCATTCAGGCGCTTTAGGAATCCCTCGGTTTTGCTGGCTACTTAACTTTTCAGCCTCATGCAGAGCAAAGAGTTGGAAACATTCCAAATCACAGATTACTGTCCTAAGCGCTGGACCACACTCTTGGATGCCCATGCCCCAATCATCCCTCACAATTACATCCCAAGTTCAAGGGAAGAGCACTCCAAGCAAAAAGAACATCAATTTTAACTGAGCCTGCCCTTTTCCAGACAGACTTCTACAAAAGCTAGCCTTCAGTTCAGTCAGAGTTAAGCTTTATGGCTGTGGACAATACCTAAACACAAGCAATGAGGAATACGATGCATGGGGGAAAATTAAAAGTTTACAGGTAAACAAAAAAAATATAAAATCTATCGCCCCAGGATATTTCCCCAGTTACAACAACAGACTGTTAACCGTGGAACTTATTGTTTGCTGCAGAGCAAACTTACTGTTTCACTACAAAACTTTATGACATGTTAAGACATGGGAGAATTGGGGAAAAAAAACCCCACACAGATTGATTTTAAATAGAGCACCCTCTCACTATCCTTTCTGAGAGCTGGGGTGAGTGGACAGTCACAAAAAGTAGGTTTTCTAACCCCTTCCCTCTTTCAGCCACAGTTTATGTAAACACTGATGGCAATTAAAAAGTTGGTTTGATTCCTGCCAGTCCTTTTACCCACAGAGGCTGTTTGTTTCAATCGAGGAGCTTAGCGGTTTTGTTTCCATGGTGTAACAAGGTCCCCAGACTCTTGCTAAAATGCCTGCAGCAGCCCGAAAGTCTCTGCCTGTCTAATTCCCATATGGCCCATTGGCCAGTTCTGGTGGCATAAGCACTATTCCAAATCTACGTCTTTCTCATTAACTGGTCAATCCCGAAGTATGATGTAAAGGAATAAAACATCTGCTGCTCTAAATATGGTAAAAATACTGATGGTAACTCACTCATTTCATACATCTGCAGCCAGAGAGCCTGGTATCTGGCATAATCCTGTTCCTGAATCTAAACTGTTACTTTAAAGAGTCCCCTTAGTCTACATTAATTGCAAAGAGATATTTTAAATATCAACTGCCTGTAAATTATCATTCACTACAGGCTCAACTGGAAAATAAGTTTGAACTTCTCCATGTTTCATGAAGCCTAGAGAAGATAACATAAATACCAACTTCATTAACTATTTCAAGTAACAATTACTTTAGTAGAACCATCCAGTTGCAGGGAGTGTGCCAAAACCCTCAACTTTCTCCTCAAATATTCCAGCTGCCTTCGATTTAACTGCCAAAACCGCAAGTTTCCCCACCTGCCATTCTGTTCCATGTAACAAGTTTTCAAAGCTTTAAATCAGAGAAATTGTTGCAGACTAGATTAAGAGTCCTGCACCCAGCTGGAACAGAAGAGGAGTGTAAACACTTCTTTTTCCTTGTTAGGATTAAAGTTGGGATTTTACAGACCCAAATAATGCAAGGATTAGCATGCACCCGCTGTGCTAATTGAAAAATTCCAAAAATTACACAAACACTATTTTGGATAGAGGAAAATGAGGTACTGTCACTAACATCTGGAACCACAATTGAGGAAGACATTGTGTAACTTTCCCCATGACTGAAACAGCTGAAGAAAACGAAGCCAAGCTGTTCACAGCTTCAGCTGGGGTCAAGGACTAGATAGACTATAGGAGACTAATTCCTTCCTTAGTCCCAGAAAAAACCCTTTCAAGGTTCATGTTCAGACCCAGCAAGGCAGCTTTATCAGCTAAAGAAATGCCAATGGAAATGAGATGTTTGAGAAAGGAAAATTAGTCATTAAAACATTATTAAGGGATTCTTTTATTCCATCTTAAAACCCAGATTAGCTGTTTGCTTAGAAGATGTGCCCTGTGATTAAACTCAATGAAGGAAATTGTTGGGTGAAATGATCTGACTTGCACTGTAAAGGAGATCAGACATGACAGATAATGATAAAAGTTTCTCCAGGCTGTAAAATGCATGAACTCCACACTGTTGTATGGGCTGAGGCTTAGCCCCCTGCCCCCTTTGAATGAAATATAAATTTGAGAAGACAAAGAAATGGGAGGAGACTTAAATTTGTTCCCAGTTTGAGTGTAAGACATTTCTCTCCCAAGGGGGAATCGAAATTTAAGAAACAGGACTTTGAATACTCAGCCATTTCACATTGTGAAGAATGTCCATGTCGGCACAATTCTGATTTCCACCGGACCTAAAAAATTATTTAGGATCTACATTTTGCTGTGGGGTGACTGGTCAGACCGCACAGATTCTGTGCTCTACCTGGCCCAGGCTTAACACAGGACATGCAGCTACTTACCTACGGTGTAGATTTCCATGTTGACAGTAAAGATGGAGTGGGAGCGGGAAGAGTCCTTGTTCATGAGGGTGTAACCCACCGCTCGGTTTCTCCAGCCTGTCTCCATGATCTGCTCGCACTGGACCACGCTATGCACGGTGTGCAGAGAGAGCCCCTTCACGTACACCCCCTTCTCTGGGTGCTCCTTCAGCTGCAAACAGGGACAGCACAAGACAGGTTAGGACAAGACGCACTGGAAACTGTCTGGAATCTTGAGGGCTACGTGAGTTTTGCATGTGGAGAAATTAAACTGCAGTATGGGAAAAACTTATCTGGCTGCATCAAAAAGCTTTAAGATTTCTGAAGGAGGAATAAAACCACGCAAAAAGAGGGAATCACCTTCATGGATCTGCAGGCAAAAAGAATTAAAGTTAAAAGTTTGCTGTTTGATTCAGACATCTCCCAGGCCACAAAAAACCTGCGCTGAGCCGCCTTCTACCTCCCCTGTTATTAAGCTGCATATTTTAAAAAAGAACTGAAATGTTTTTCACCTATTATGGCAAAGGCTCTAATATCTCTTCAGTCATAGGGAGCATTTTAAAAATCAAAGCACAGATTCAATAGTCATGGATATTGTTAATGGTGCTTCGCTGAACCCCTCCGCTCTGAGAGGGCGTCTTGATCTCCCTGACAAAATTCCCAAAGTCACACAAAGGCAGACAATAATAATTTTTCTCCAGATTAATTCATTTTTTAGATGCTCTAAAATCCTATTCAGGCAGCTGGATAGAGACAGAATGTTAAATACCTAACAGCATCTTTTCAGCAATTATCAATCATGCAGAAGAAACACTTCATACAACATGCTAATAAACGATTGAAATGTTCAAAATCTTGATCAAACCTACACAAAAAATACAAAACAATTAAGAGATCCCTGCACTCCTACACTAGCCCCTTCTGAAGCTCCCTCCACACTAGAAATTTTAAACAAGCTGAATTCATTTTCAACAGCCATGTTACGCCCCACATCTGCTGAGTTCACCACCAAAACTCTATTGTGTCAGCTGGGATATCAAGATATGGTTGTCATGACTCGGTTGCAAGGAGTGACAGATACCACGTTTGGCTGCGTGACTTCCAAAAAAGAGCCTTACATACTTTAGTGATGCACGCACCACAAGCAGCGGTGTGAAGTAGAGGGTTTGCTGTTAAAAAATCAGCACAGAACAGAGCAAAAGTGGCTGAAAACTAAACTAGGCAGGATTTTAGCCTTGTTCTACAGCCATGACTGCCCAGGATGAATCCAGTTATAGAATCACAACCAGACTGTTCATACACTGTGACTTTTGCCTGTGCTACAGGAGGACGCCACAGCTGGCCCAGCTGTATTTGAGGGTGCTGCAGAATCCCTGAGGAACACCCAACCAAGGACACGGCCGTTTAACTCCACGACAGACTGACAGGGGCATTTTCCTTGCAGAGCTCCATAAAACCTGCTCTTCACAGGGTTTCATGCCACGGGAGACGACTGTGGGCTTTGGAATTACCAAAGGCACTGATGTCGAAAGGCAAAGGAACAAAGAAAAATGGGATTTTGGAGGAGAATTAGGGGACACAGAAGGAAGCAGTGGGGCAGCCCGGGCTTTCAGTCTCTGCAGGACACAACTCCCTTAATTACTCAGTGGAGATAGCAACAGGCAGCAGCTGCCACGGGTGTGATGGTGTTACCCTAGAAACTGGTCTGCCCAACTCCTGTCCTCCCAGTGCCAACTGCAGTCGTCATGGAAACCGGTGTCACTGCTGATGTGGAACAAAGGATAGGAAACTGCAGCAAGCAAGTCCCCCTCTCCCACCCTCCCTCTCGACACGCACAGGGGAAACATGCTTGGAACATGGAGCGGAGAGGGTTTTGCCTCCCTTAAAGCCAGAAGCATATTAAAAAAACTGCCCCACAAGGCAGTTTGAGTCTGTCACCACCTCAGCGTGTCTGTGCAGCAGATGGTGCTAGTGCCTTGGTTTTCTTCACCAGGGCAGTCCTGCAGGGAAATAAATTAGGACAGGAGATTTGCAGCTCCCTCTGGGAATATGTACAGAAAGATCTGCAAAGCCACCAAGAGGTAAATTTTATAAAAATCAGCCCCTTGATTAGGACTTCAGGAAAGTTTACCCTCCTGCGTTCCTGGAAACTGCCTGCCTTCCCCATGCATTCCCATGGGGAGTAATATCTGCTGTGTCCCCTCAAAAAAGGATCAGCCTTTTTTGTTTCAGACAAATAATGAGATCATCCACAGCTACACAGGATCAGATTAAACATTTATAAGGCACAGAATCCTCCTGCTTTAGATCCAGCTGTGAGACGAAGAGGATTAGGAGGAAATTGCCCCATGAGCACTTTATTCCATCCTTGTCCAGTAATGATTTTCACACAGCTTCTGCTGAGCTACTGGTCGCTATCAAGCGGGATACATGGGACACGTCTCTGACTGGATCCTGTTCCTTCTGCCACTAAACTTTCACTAAAGTCCCTCAAAATCTCCTCTTGGCTTCCATATTCATCACCGTAACTTTGTATTCTATCATTCAGCTTCTGACAGAGCATATTACTGCACTTCTGCAAGACACTCATGACAACACTTGTCTGAGCAAATTAAAACACTTCCTATTTAGGACACATTGACTCCACCTCACCTCCAACTTCTGCTTGGTATCAGCTCCTAGAAGGTCTCGTATGTCTTCATTGTAAATCTCCAGGTAGGAAGCCCTTACCAAGAACTTGGCATTTTCAGCACACTGCACAAAACAGGAACGATTTTCGGGTAAGGTTCTCAAAATGAAGGCGAGTAGGCAGCCCACGTAGATACTCAATGCCAGCTGGGTGCCTGCCTCCCTTCAGCACTTCATCAAATCTCTCCTGGCATTTCATTCCCAGGTGTAACCACTCAACACACTCACTACAGGGACTTTTGGTCCTTAAACATCTCAAGTGCAAGTCCAAAAAGTCAGCAGAGATAAGGGTGCAGTTCATCTGACTGTATATGGGCCTCAGCTTTAGGATGAGAGGCAGCATACCCAGCCTGTCCCCATTCTTGCTCCTGACTGTGATTGGCACTCACTCCTTGGAGTATGACACGAAAAACTATCTTTCTTGATACCACACTGTCTTACAACAGGATCTCTTTCACATCCTGACACACCTACCTGTACACTCTCAAAAATGTGTTCAAATGCCCTGGGTATGATGCCTTTCTGTGTAGGAGGATCCACAACTCCCTGCATGGTGAATGACTTCCCACTGCCCGTCTGGCCGTAGGCAAATATGGTGCCATTGTAGCCTTCAGTGACACCCTGGAAATGGAGGAAAACCAAATAAAATACCTATTATCTTCACCCTTTGCAGAACTGGAACTGCATTGTTCAGATTCAATCCCACCTCATAAAAGGTATTTTAAAGGAAGAGCTGGAATTAAACATTAAACAACTACTTCATCTTCACGTGCCATCAGAGTATAATAATTTAAAAATGCATTCTACTAGCATATAAATCAATGGTTTTCTCTCAAAAATGGAAAACTTTAAGAAATCCAAGTGTTGAAAAGTGGAATAGCTGTTGACAACACTTAGAAGACCAGAATATTTTCACCGTAGGGCAGCAAAATCTTGGGAAACCCAGAGAGACAACTAGAATGATAGTCGATTATAGGGTGGCCAAAAGGATGGTCCCTAGCTTAGAATAATTTCCTCTTGGAAAGCTGGCTGAAAGAAGGCCTCACTTTCACTTGTTCCTAATTCAGAGAAGCATGGGAACAGAAGATATTTGGATTTCTTAAGGTTCAAATGAAAGGGAAAATAAATAAATTATTAACCTAATAATCTACTGTTTCAGACCCTGGTTGCACTCCTGATCAGGAACTTCCATCTTAAAATTATCACTGGCCATTTTATCCCTGTTTCTTCTAATAAAATTTTCTTTGGGGAGGGGAGGGCTGGCATTTTTTTGCTTAACTAGTTCCTTTCTCACACTAGCTGATTATCACGCTGGTGTGTTAACAGGCAACAAACACACCTCTGTCCTGGTTGGGGCTGGACTAGAGTTCCTGTTGGTTTTAGTAGCTGGAGGAGTGCTGCAGCACAGAGACCCCGGGGACTCCCCAGGTCCCAGTGCCCTCACCTGTGTGTGGGGGTGGGGGGAGCACAGCTGGAGGGCTGGGCCCTGATTGGCTGATAGTCCATGTCATGTGACATCATGCTCACCATATAAAGGCAGGAGAGGGGCCACTTCTGGGAGTGTGGCTGTGGTGGCTTTGTGTTTGGGGTTGCTGGCTGGGAGCAGGCAGTTGGTGGGTGGTGAGCAGCTGTATTGTACATTACCTACTGATATTGCTGTCTGTTTATTATTCTGTTACTGTTATTAAACTGTTTTTATCTCAACCCGCGAGTCTCCCTTTGCCCCTCCAATTCCCTCCCCATTCCCAAGTGGGGGGAGGGTGGGTGAGCGGCTGTGGGGCATTTAGCTGCTGAGCAGGCTCAAACCACGACAGTCCTTTTTGGCGCCCAACGTGGGGCACGAAGGGTTGAGATAATAACAGATTTGATCTGTGGGTACTATCAAGTTTGTTATAATGCCGACTGCCCATCCTGTTATAATGTCATTTGCTTGGCTACTAAAATCGTGGATTTTGTTGCTGCAGTTGTGTTATACATCACATTACTTACCATATGTAGTCCCCATGTTGTTGCTTATTACCCGTGGGAATTGGATTAAGATTTTTGCCTTGCTGTATTATGTAACTCTAGTTTATGGCATGATAAAATCTTCGGTCCTGGGAGTTATGGGGCACCTACTGGAGTGGGTTAGTAACTATACCCTCCACCTTTTCTCCTTGGAAATCCCACCCAAGGGGGAGATACCTTTTTCCATCTTCCCCTTCTCCAAGCTACTTGCAAGTATACTTGAGAATGCTGAGAACTCTGAATATCCATGGAATGCTCATATTAACATTGTTGTCTTGTTTCTGGAAGCTGTAGTGTTCCTGAATGTGGTTCAGGTTCTGTTTCGGGTTAAGCAACTGTTTCTGAATACCACCCAGAGGTCTACCCCAGGATTGCAGAGTTATGAGTGGCTGGGGGTGTGGGGTAGCATGGGCAAGTACCTAGGACAGTGGGGACCTCCAATGTTTTGGAATTTCACCCCTGAACAAGTGCGGGATCCTGAGAAATTACTAAAATATTTCGAAAAGGTGTGCTGTCATCCTGACACCTCAAGAGAAACGCAGATCATTGCAACAGGCTGGGGCCTGGCCCATGCCTACCGAACCCTGCTTGCCACCATGCAGTATCCTCAAAAGGAAGACGTCTCTGCATCTGCGAGCAAAACAACCGGCACTGCAACCACCCTGGCACCCCCACCAGGCACTGCAGCCACTCCAACTCAGGCGACCGACGCTGCAGCCAATCCGACCCCTACGGTAAGTACTGCGGGTGAACTGGAGCATCAATCCACAACAGTATCAGTTGCTCCCATACAGAAGAAGAAATACACTAAAAAATCCCCTCGCATTGTAAAAGATGATGGTGAGCCAGGGCCCTCACAAGAACAGGAGGAGGAGGCAGAGCCAGTGGTAATCACCCGATCTCTATCCCTGAGTGAACTACGAGACATGAGAAAGGATTTCAGCCGCCATCCAGGTGAACACCACCTTACCTGGCTGCTCCGATGCTGGGATAGCGGGGCCAACAGTGTGGAATTAGAAGGTAGAGAAGCCAGGCAACTGGGATCCCTGTCCAGGGATGCAGGCATTGACAAGATTATTGGAAGAAAGACACAAACGCTCAGCCTTTGGAGACGACTACTGTCAGGCGTGAGGGACAGATATCCCTTCAAGGAAGATCTTACATGTCATCTAAGTAAGTGGACTGCCATGGAGAGAGGCATCCAATACCTGAGGGAACTGGGAGGGAACTGGCTGTGTGGGAGATGGTTTATTATGATCCAGACGATGCGCGGCTACCCACAGACCCAGATGAAGTCCAATGCACCCGGCCCATGTGGCGGAAGTTTATACGGAGTGCTCCGTCTTCACATTCGAATGCACTAGCAGTATTTGACTGGAGAGACGAAGAGGGACCAACTATGGATGACTTGGCTCGCCGACTCCGGCACTACGAAGAAAGTCTTTCTCCTTCCATCGTCGCGGCTGTGGAGAAACTGTCACAAGAAGTCCGACAACTCAAAGAGGACATGTCCTACTCTCCACCTCCACAGACTAAGATCTCGGCAATCAGGAGCAAACGACTCCCTACTCAAGCGAGACAGTATACACCACAGGGGAACCTATGGTATTACCTGAGCGACCATGGAGAAGATATGAGGAAATGGGACGGGAAACCCACCTACATTCTAAGAGAGCGGGTTTGAGAGTTGGAAGGAAGAATGGCTACAAATCAAGGTTCTTCCAGGATAAGTGCTGCTCCAGTCTCAGCTAATCAGTTACCCAAACAGCGTAGAAGAATTGACTTTGCTCCTGATCCTATGAGGAGAACTTCTGAGTCGTACTTACAAGAAGTGAGTAACCAGGATGAGACCGAGGTTCGCACAGACTGCACTAACCCCTCCATCAACAATGGATACGATGAGCAGCATTAGAGGGGCCCTGCCTCCAGCCAGGTGGAGGAGAGGGACAATCGTGTTTACTGGACTGTGTGGATTCGATGGCCTGGCACATCAGACCCCCAGGAGTATAAGGCTTTGGTGGACACTGGTGCCCAGTGCACCCTGATGCCGTTGAATTTCCAAGGAACAGAGGCTATTTGTATCTCAGGAGTGACAGGAGGTTCTCAACAGCTGACTGTGTTGGAGGCTGAGGTGAGCCTAACTGGAAATGAGTGGCAAAAGCACCCTGTTGTAACTGGCCCGGAAGCTCCCTGTATTCTTGGAATAGATTATCTCCGGAGAGGGTATTTTAAGGACCCAAAAGGGTACCGGTGGGCTTTTGGCATAGCTGCCTTGGAGACAGAAGAAATCAAACAGCTGTCCACTCTGCCAGGGCTCTCAGAGGATCCTTCTGCTGTGGGACTACTGAAGGTTGAAGAGCAGCAGGTGACGATCGCTACCACGACTGTGCACCGACGGCAATATCGCACCAACAGAGACTCTGTAGTTCCCATCCACCAACTGATTCGTCAACTAGAGAGCCAAGGGGTGATCAGCAAGACTCGCTCACCCTTTAACAGCCCCATGTGGCCAGTGCAGAAGTCTGATGGAGAGTGGAGACTGACAGTGGACTGTCGGGGCCTGAATGAAGTCACACCACCGTTAAGTGCTGCTGTGCCAGACATGCTGCAGCTTCAGTATGAATTGGAGTCAAAGGCAGCCAAGTGGTATGCCACAATTGATATCGCCAATGCCTTTTTCTCCATCCCTCTGGCAGCAGAATGCAGGCCACAGTTTGCTTTCACCTGGAGGGGTGTCCAACACACCTGGAACAGACTGCCCCAGGGGTGGAAACACAGTCCCACTATTTGCCATGGACTGATCCACACTGCGCTGGAACAGGGTGAAGCTCCAGAACATTTACAATACACTGATGACATCATTATATGGGGGAATACAGCAGAAGAGGTTTTTGAGAAGGGAGAGAAAATAGTTAAAATTCTTTTGAAAGCTGGCTTCACCATAAAATGAGGTAAAGTCAAGGGCCCTGCACAGGAGATTCAGTTTTTAGGAATCAAATGGCAAGATGGATGTCGTCAGATTCCAGTGGATGTGATTAATAAAATAACGGCTATGTCTCCACCAACCAGCAGAAAGGAAGTACAAGCTTTCTTAGGTGTGATAGGCTTCTGGAGAATGCATATTCCAAATTACAGTCTTAGGTGTGATAGGCTGCTGGAGAATGCATATTCCAAATTACAGTCAGATCGTAAGCCCTCTTTATCAAGTGACCCGAAAGAAAAATGACTTTTTATGGGGCCCTGAACAAAAGCAAGCTTTTGAACAAATTAAACAAGAAATCGTTCATGCTGTAGCCCTTGGGCCGGTTCGGGCAGGACATGATGTTAAAAATGTGCTCTACACTGCAGCCGGGGAGAATGGCCCTACCTGGAGTCTTTGGCAGATGTGTTAACAGATAACAAACACATCTCTCATTCTGCTATTGTAAAACAGGCCAAGCTTCCCTGTCTTCTCCAAGGTTTCTCACTTGACAGTAAAAACATCCCTAAAATCATCAGGAGTCTTGTTTGTCTTCCTTCTCCCCACATCACTTCCCACTTCAGTTTCCAGGGCCTACACAGGGGGTTTTAGCTTTCATATAAACATCCACCTAAAACAATTAAATGTAATTCTGACCTCAGTGCCACACTGGCTGCTTGAAAAAGTTTTATTTTCTTCCCAATTTCCCAGCCTACTGCCAGGACACTGTTTTGCCCTCCTCTGCACCCCAGGGTTGCAGCTAAGCCTCTTGATGGAGTGGACAGGGCTGTTTCTGTCCATAAATCAGTTCCGTTTAGGGATCGCCTACCCATGTGAAACTCCTCAGCCCACATCCCGAGCTACATGTTCGTCTGTGTCTGGCTTGCTTCAGGCACCGCTTACCTCCACGAGCGGGTAGGCGATCTCATTGTAGATCTGCTCTGTGTTGTGCTCCTGGTAGTACGCCCCGTCGAAGGTGAACTGCTTCGGGGGCTCCCCGGTGGCAGCGGGGTTTTGGAGGAAGCACTGGCCCCGTGCGCTCTCCGTGTTGACGACCACCTTGCAGCCAAGAGCCTTCTCCCGCTCGTTCATGGGCCGGCAGCGCACGATCACCTTCACTGCCTCCGAGGCCATTTTTCAAGGTTCAGCTCGACCCCACACGCGCTCACTTGGGGTGCATGGGGGGCTGGGTAGGGCTGTGGGAAGGCTGGGGCGAGCCTAACCCCAGGGCCTGCAGCCGTCAGTGGGGTGCAGCACTCACCGCTTGCTGGGGGCAGCGAGGGGAAGGACCCCCCTGCAACTTGGCATAAGGGCCAGAGGGGCCACAAGGGGCTGGGAGGCAAGAGGGGACTAAGGAGGAGGAAAGCTTGGGAGGGATGAAGGGAAAAGGGGGGACACTCGGGACAAGCCTGAGGGGGAACTAGGGCAGGCCGGGGGGAGGAAACCTGCGGGGAGGCTGCGGGCGGGAAAGCCTGAGGGAACTCCGGGGAGCCGGGACAAGCCCAAGGAGGAGCGGGCGAAGGAAAACCTGAGGGAAAAGCGTCGGTATCGGGCAAGCCTGAGGGAGCGGGGGGAATCCCGGGGCGCACCGGGCGGTGCGGAGGGCAGGCGGGAAGCGCCGGCCGAGCCAGCGCGCATGCGCGCAGTGGCCCCACGCGGTTGCCACAGCGACGGGGCGGTGTGAGGCGAGGCCCCGCCCCCCTCTCGCCCCGCCCGCCCCCGCCGCGCGCGGTGGGGAGGGAGCCCTCGCGCAGCGAGGCGCGTGTGCGTGGGTGCGGAGGCGCGCGGGCGCGCGGGAGCGTGAGGCGCGAGCGCGAGGGCTGGGGCAAATGAGGGAGCGCGGTGCAATTCGGCAAGTGTGCGCGTGCACGAGAGCGCAGGTGCGTGGGTTCAAAGCCTTGAGGGTGCGTGGTGCCAGTCTGCAGGCGTGCGTGTGCACCAGCGCGCAGGCGCGGGGATGCGAGGTCTCGAGGGCGTGTGGTGCAGTTTTTCAGGTGTGTGTGCATGGGCGCACAAGGTCTACGAGGGTGCGTGGTGCAATTCTGCAAGCGTGCGTGTGCCCACGAGGGCGTAAGTGCGCGTGTCCAAGGTCTCGAGGGTGCGTGGTGCAATCCTGCAAGCGTGGGTGTGCGCACGAGAGTGTAAGTGCACGCATCCAAGGTCTCAAGGGTGCGTGGTGCAATTCTGCAAGCGTGGGTGTGCGCACGAGAGTGTAAGTGCACGCATCCAAGGCCTCGAGGGTGCGTGGTGCAATTCTGCAAGCGTGGGTGTGCCCACGAGAGTGTAAGTGCACGCATCCAAGGTCTCGAGGGTGCGTGGTGCAATCCTGCAAGCGTGGGTGTGCCCACGAGGGCGTAAGTGCATTCATCCAAGGTCTCGAGGGTGCGTGGTGCAATTCTGCAAGCGTGGGTGTGCACCGGAGCGCAAGCGCATGGTTGCAAGGTCTTGGGGGGGTGTGCGCGCGTGTCGGGAGCGGGGCAGGGGGGCAAATCAAAGGCGGGCAGCGAGAACTCCGGTAGCACGAGAGCCGTTTATTGCCGAGGCGCGCCGTGCAGCACGCCGGGCGCGCGCGGCCGCGGGGGGGGAATAAATAAGGCAGGCGGCAGCGGATTAAAGCTAAGAGGGGGTCCTGGGGGGCGGCCGGGCCCGAGCGGGGGGCGGCAGGGCCTAACCCCGCTCGTGCTGCACCCCGGCGGGGGCCCGGGCGGCCTCCCCCCAGGCGCTGGCCCCACCGCCCGGGTCCCGCTCTTCGTAGCCGGGGTTGCGGCGGCCGGGAGCCAGGCGGCAGAAGCAGCCCCCCGTCCCCCCGGAATAGTGAGCCAGGAGGGCGGCCACGCTGGCGAACTCGGCGTTGGAGTGCTGCCGCCGGAGAGGGGAGAGAGGTGAGCACCCCCCCCACACCTCCTTGCTCAACCGGGGGCGGGGGGGCGGCCGGTGAGCCTTGCTGGGATGCCCACGCGCCCAAATGCACCCAGCACCCCTGGAGCCACGCAAGGGTGCAACCACAAACACGCGGCGGATGCACCCAGGAATCAAAAACACTCGCACGCCTGCACATCACGGGTGGTTGCACGCACCTGTTGGTACCTGCGTGCAGGGCGCCGTGCACAGATGATGCACCCACGGGTGGACTGTGCCCACGCCCCTGTGCAGCCGTGCACGGGTGTATCTGAGCACTGGCACAGCCATGAAGCAAATGCCCCTGTGTACCCATGCGCACATGAAGCAAATGCACTTGTAGCCATGTGTGATGCGCCTGCGCACCAATGCAAACCTAAAGCAAGCGCGCCTGTGCAACGCTGCATCAAATGCATGTGCACACCAGCGCTTCCATGCACTGTTGCACCAGATGCACTTACGCAGTGTGTCAGATGCACACAGATGCCAGTGCTTCCATGCACTTTATGCACCAACACATCCATGCAGAGATGCACCAAATGCATGGATGCACCAGTACGCCCACACGCCTATGCACCAGTGCATCTGTGCACCAACATGCTGGTGCATCCATGCATGGATGCCCTGAATGCACTTACACACCAGTGCACTGATGCACCCATACACCAACTCATCCGTGCACAGATGCAGTGAATGCACTTACGCAGCAATGCATCTGTGCACAGGTGCACCAAATGTGCTTGTACACTGCGCCAAATGCATGGATGCACCAGTGCGCCTATGCACCAGTACATCTGTGCACCAACGCACCAGTGCATCCGTGCAGAGATGGACTGAATGTACTTGCACAGTGTGTCAGATGCAGGTACACATCAGTTCATCCGTGCACCAACGCATCCATGGACAGGTGCACCAAATGCGCTTGTACACCGCACCATATGCATGGATGCACCAGCATGCCTATGCAGCTGTGCATCCGTGCACCTCCATGGTGGTGCATCCATGCACCAATGCACCGGTCTGCACAGAATGCACTTGCAGTGTGTCAGATGCAGGCACGCATCAGTGCGTTCATGCACCAACGTGTCCACACAGAGGTGCACCAAATGCACGCTGCGCCAATGCACCCATACACCAACGCACCCGTGCACAGATGCACCGAACGCACCCGCACCCCAATGCACAGACCCCTCGCAGGCGCTTCCCCGGGTGCAGCCGGGCCCCGCTGCGCCACGCAACCGCGGCTCTGCCCTCCCGCAGCAAACCGCCCGCGCAGCACCCTCACCTCCACGCAGAACCGGCCCTGGTGGGTCCGAAGGAGGCTGTAGGGGATGACGCCGCAGGGCGCCCGCACCCACAGGCACCAGCGCTTGGCCGGCCCGGGCTCGGGGCGCAGGAGGAAAGCGCCGGGGACGTCGCGCCGCAGCAGCGCGATCCCGCCGGCCCTGGGGACGAGGCGGCGGGTGGGCGGCGGGTTTGGGGGGGGGGGCTGCGGCCGGGGGGGGCTCCCACGCACTCACCTGCCGATGCCGGCGAAGGCCCACACGCTCTCGGCGAGGACGCTCTCGTTTTCGGGGAGGAAGGCCAGGCTCCTCGCCCCTTTGCTCTCCCATCCCGCCGCCGCTGCGGGAGCCTGTTAATCCCCTCGTCGCCCCCAACCCCCCCATAAAACTGGAGCTGCGTGTGCGTGTGTGTCCCCCGTGCCTCAGTTTCCCCTCTGGCACTCACCAGCGTCACGGGGCGGCTGGTGGAGCTGGCTCTCGCCCCCGCAGTCCCGGTAAGCCCCCGAGCGCAGGACCTTGCTGCGGATGGCTTTTTTGCGCACCAAGATTGGGGAGCAGTAGGGGTTCCCCGGGCGCCAGGCCCCGGCTCTGCCCTCCGCCTCCGGCCTCTGCTCCTGGGGGGAGTGGGGGGGCTGTGAGGGGGCTTGGGGGGGGCTTTTGCTGTGCGAAATGTCAGGCAAAACACCAGGCAAAACGAAATGAAACAAAAAAATGCTGTGCAAAGAATGCTACGGCGAAAACGCTGCACAAAAAAAAAATGCCATGCCAAACGCCGTGCAAAAATGCTGTGCAAAAAAAAAAAAAAAAAGGGCCCCACAAAAACACTTCAGGAAATACGCCGTGACAAAAAAACGCAGCGCGCGACACCGTGCAAAAAATGTTGAGCAAAAAAGGCTGTGCAAAATGCCATGCAAAAAATGCTGTGGCAAAAAATGCCGTGCAGAACACTGTAAAAAATGCTGAGGGAAAAATGATGTGCAAAACAGTGCCATGCAAAAAAACACTGGGGAAAAAAAAATGGCATGCAAAAAAGACAGCATGCAAAAATGCTATACAAATAATGTTGTGCAAAAACTGCCATGCCGAAAGAAGCCATGCAAAAAATGCCATGTAAAATTGACATACCAAAAAAAATGGCGTGCAAAACAGTGCCATGCAAAAACACTATGCAAAAAATGCCCTGCAAATACCATGCAAAATTGCTGTGCAAAAAAATTGCCATGCAAATACGCCCAATGCAAAAAGCCGTACAAGAAAAGGCCATGCAAAATGCTGTGCAAGAAACTGCCCTGCCAAATGCCATTTAAAACAGGCCGTGCAAAATACCATGCAAGAAAAGGCTGTGCAGGATGGGCCTTGCAAAATGTGCTGTGCAAAATTGCGCCATGCAAAATGCTGTGCAGGAAAAGACAATTCAAAAAGCCACCAGGCAAAATGCCATGAAAAACACCCTGCAATAAGAGGCTGTGCAAGATGCATCATGCAAAACATGACACGCAAAACACCAAACAAAGATGCACCCCATGGAAAATGCTGTGCAAGAAAGGACTGTGCAAGAAAGGACCATGCAAGAACTGCCAGGCAAAATGCCATGTGAAAAAATGCCATGCAAAAAAATGCCATGCAAATACCAGTGTCCAAAAAAATGCTTTGCAAAAAGTGCCACGCACATAACACTGCACAAATAAATGCTGTACAAAGAGGACGTGAAAAAAAATGCCATGCAAGACACCATGTAAAATTGTGCTGTGTAATAATGCACCATGCAAAATGCTGTGCAAGAACTGCCAGGCAAAATGCCATCCAAAAAATGCCATGCAAATAACTGCAGCGTGAAAAAAATGCTGCAGAATAAAAAGGCCGTGCAAGAAAAGCCACACGAGGCACCGTGCAGAAATGTGCCGTGCAGAAACACGCCGTGCAAAATGCCGTGCAAGAACAGGCTGTGCAAAAACCCCCACGCAAGCAACCGCGGTGCCGCTGGAGCAGCACCCAGCACCCCGGCAGGGTGCACCTACCCCTGCGCCCAGGGAGCCGAGGCCGGCGGGCGCGGGCAGGCGTCGGAAGGAGACGAGGGCGTTGACGTTGCGCGACACCTCGTCGGGGTTGAGCGGCTCCCGCAGCACCCCGGCCCCCGGGGGGTCCCCCTCGCCCGCCTGCTCCTCGGGGTGCGCCAGGAGGTAGCAGAGCTGGAAGGAGCGGCAGAGCAAGAGGTGCAGGGTCTGGACCTGGGGGAGGCAGAAGAAGCTGCGTGCAAATATTAAAAATAATAATAACGGGGTTCTTTGCGGGGGGGGGAGGGGGAGGGTGTTGGGGCGTGCACCTCGCCCGGGAGCCCCACGAAGAGGTGGCAGAAGAGGGTGCTGGCGGGGCTGCAGGGATTGCGGGCCACGAAGGCGAACTGGCGGTCGGCGTGTCGCCACGTGCTGTACAGGATCCGGCGGAGAGCGTGCGCCATCAGCAGCGTCTGCGGGGGCGAGACGGGGTTTGGGGGGAGGGGGGGTGTCACCGGGACCGAGCACCCCCGGAGCCCACCCTGGGGTGCAAGAGGTGCCGGGGCCACCCCTGTTCGCACCAGCAGGTTGCGAACACGCAGAGAGGCCCATCGGGTTTGCAATCCCATTTGCAAAAACCTTTTGCAGGTTTTCAAGTGAAAAACAACGCTCGGAGAGGTGCAACTCGCCCCGAGCACCCTTCCAGCTGCACCCAGCACCCTCCCCCCCAGCACCCCTACCTCCCCATCGGCGCCGTAGATCTTCAGCCCCTGCAAGCTGAACCTCAGCACCACTGACCTCCTCCTGGGGCAGTCCTGGCCGGGAGAGATGCAGCGTTGGGGGGGGAGCTGGGCAGTGTCACCTGGGGGGGGGGGTCCCCGTCGCTATTTGGGGTCCCGGTGAGGGGGAGCGGTGGCGGACGCCCGACCTTCAGCGCTTGCAGCTGCTCCTCCAGCCGCCCCACTTGCTGCTGCAGGTCCAAATCCTCCACGGCAAAGGAGCCCACGTACTTGGGGAGGGGGGGGCGGCGAAGAAACACACAAAAACCCACCCGTGTCAGCAACAGCACACACACCCCCCCCCGCCACGACGCTGCAGTTGATCCCCCTCGGGGCACCCTGAGATGGTGGGATGGGGGGGGGGTCACAGAGAGGTACCTGCACCCAAACCAACATCTCGGGGGGGTCCCTGTCACCCCTCCCTCGTGGGTAAATCACCTCCGCTGGCCTGGCGATGCCCCGCGCTCGCTGCTGGGGGGCTGCAGGATCCGGCCCCCTCCCGTTGCCCGCCTTCTTCTTCATGGCAGCGGGGTTTGGGGGTGAAGGCTGGATCGGGATGGGGTTAAACAGCTCCGGTGCCGCATCCGAATTATCCGGAGCCACCCAGGGTGGCGGTTTGGGTGCCCGGATCTGGCCCCCCAGTCACGGTCCCTGTGAGGAGGGAGGGGACAGACACAACCTGTCCCCATTGTTCCCTGTTTGCAGCCCGCTGAGCCCCAGGGAGATGCTGCGGTCCCCGTACGGTGCTCCCCAAGTCCTGACCCCAATGCAGGTGTCCCCGAATCCTGGTCCCAGCGCAAGGGTCCCTCCATACCGGCCCTGATAAAAGGGTCCCCAAATCCTGACCCCAAACCCGACGCAAGGGTCCCTGTGTCCCCACCCCGTGCATCGCACAAGGGGCCTCACACCCCAACTCCAGCACCGGGGTCCCCCAAGTGCCTTGCAAGGGTCCCCCCAGCCTGACCCCGACCCCAGTGCGAAGGTCCCTGTGTCCCAACCCTCCTTCAAGGGTCCCAGCACCGTGACCCCAAGTGCCCCACGTCCTGTCCCTGAGCACCATGCAAGGGTCCCCATGTCCCTGCCCCAAGCGGGGTGCAGGTAGTCACCACCTCCTGTCCCCAAAAGCAATGTGGGGGTCCCCAAATCCCAACCCCAACCATGATGTATGTGGTCGCCGCTTCCCAACCCCAAATGAAACCCAAGTGTCCCCACATCCTGATCACAAGATGCGAGTGGTCCCCGCGCCCCAAATGCACGGTCCGGCCCCCAAGCGTGCTGCATGCAGTCCCACATCCTGAACCCCAGCAAGGTTATGGGGTCCCCCCCTCCATCCTGCCCCCTCCCAGTGCCCCGTCCCACTCCCCGCCAGCCACGCAGCACCAAGACCCCCACAGCTGTTCTTCGGGGCCGATCCCCGAAACACCAGTGATGGGGGCAGCAGGTTTGGGGGTGCTTTTTTGGCCGGAGCACCCGCCACCGAAGGCTGCGCCCGGCCCCTCTCCAGCCACCCCAAAGGGGTTTTGCCCTGCGCAGCCCTCAGCCGGGCTGAGACCGGCACAACTCGTGTCACCGAGGCCCCGCCGCAGCCCCCTGGGTGCAAACACACGGGAAAGGGGGGGTAGGGAGGGGGGTCTTGCTGCTCCAAGCACATCCTCAGCGGGTGTGGGGGGGTCCCTATGGTGCCCCCATCCCCTTTGCAAGCTCAGGGTTGCCCCTCTCCTTTCCGGCACAATTTGGGGGGTCTCTCCCCCCTCCCCCCCCAGCCAATCCGCAGGCAGGCAGCCCCCAAGCCCCGCCCCCTTTTTCCCACGCTCCATTTCTCAATGGACCCCCCCCCCCCCCCCAGCCCACCGGCCACCCTGGAGGTCCCCAAGGGAGGGATGCTGCCCCTAAAATTTGGAGGGGGGGGGGGCGGGCGGGAAGGTGTGTGTGACACCCACCCACCAAGCATCCCCGGAGACCCCCCCCATCCCGCCGGGCTCCCCCCCTCCGCGGCTCCCGGGCAGCTCACTCGGATGACTCCGGAGAAACGCAGCTGAAAAATTCCCCCTGCTCCCGCTCTGGGCCTCGGCCGGGGTGTTTTTCCTCCCCTCGGGTGGCTCCTCCGGCAGCTCCCGCCGTGGCGCAGGGATGCTCGGCCCGTGGGCGTCAGGCCCTCGCCGCCAGCCAGGCCCCGGCGAGCCCGAGCCCACGCCGGGCACGGGGCAGGCAGCAAACTCTCGTTTCCTGCCTCCGATCTGCCCGCGATGAATCACCGTAATTTACCTCCCCGGTTTTCTCCGTTTCTTGGAAGCAACGGCGAGCTGAAACGCTCGGGCTTTTTGAAAAACGAGGCTGCAACTGATTTTTTTCCTCTTTTTTTTGTTTTTCCCACACCCCCCCCCCCTCCTACGGCATGCCCAGCGGAGCAGTGATTTCCAACCCCAACACGCACGCACGTGCTTGCTTGCCATCCCCTGCCCTGACGCTCAGATCCTTCTCACCCCAATTTTTGAATTCCCCGGGGAGTTTTGCCCACTGCTATCTGCTTTCACCGGAAAAAAAATTAGAGGGATGGCTCCGACCTCGCTGCAAAGCAGCCATGCGAACCCGGAGCCTCAGGTCCCCGAAATCCTCTGGCTGGCCAAAGGAGCAAGAGCTGCCCCCAGCCCCAGGGGTGGGCTCGGCTCCTGGAAAGGTAAAGCACCAGTTTGGGGGGGTGACAGGGTCTAACCCCTCGGGGCCGCATCCAAAACTCCCCCCGGTGCTCCGGAGGGTGGGAGGAACAGGGTCCGAACGGCGGCGCTCAGACCTTGGGGCAGCGCCAGCGCCAGCTGCTGCGAGATGCCCCGGCAGAGCCTGCCGGAAGAGTCGATAGCGTAAAAACAGTGGGGAAAAAAAAAAAGAAAAAAACCCAACCCAACAGGACAGATGGGGCTGAAGAAATAACATAACGGAGCCCAGGCTGGCCAGGAAGCATAGACTGGAGAAGAGCGAGTGGCAGAGATGGCACGAGGATTTTTCCCATTAAATCCCAGTCGCTGCTCCTGGGAGGTGAGGATCCATCCTCTGGGTTCAATACAACCAGACCCTCAGCTGTTTGTTTTGGGTTTTTTTATTTTTTTTTTTGGCCAGGTGTGTAGAACACCTAAATTAGCAACTAAAACCACAACCAAAAAGTTTGGTGATGAGCGGGGGGTGGGGGAGCTAATGGCCGTTTTTAGCAGCAAAATTAAGCCGTGTGAAAAAGCAGTGTTCTCCAGATCAGCGTTTTAACAAACACTCACGGGGAGGGGGGGGGTTGTTGTTGGTGTGGGCACCGGTCCTGGGAGGCCGCAAGATGCCCTGCAGCTGGGCAAGGGCTCCTCGTCCCCACAGACATCCTACCACTGAGAGAAGCAGTCTCTCACATTTGGCTCACCTAGAGCCTGCCTGGGGGAAAACACCAACAAAAGCCACAGTTTTGGTACAAGCAGCCCTAGGAAAGAGCCGTTAACCAGTGTTTCTAATTGCTTTGCATCCCTGCAGATTACTCTTTGATCGGTGCTTTCACTCTCCCAGTTCCAGATCAGCTATGATTTTTGTTAACCTGCTGTTTGCACACTTGTTACAGGGCTGGGAACAATTCAGGGCATTTCTGTAAGCGTTTTTGAAACTCCCAGTTGTTAGACGTAGCACACTGGAATGGCAACCGAAAAGAATAAATTCAGGAAGGCTATTTTCTTCATTTTTGCATTTTATTTCTAGAGGTATTTCCACTCCTCTCAGCACGGTACGTGCAAAGCTCTTTCCAAAAGCCTGTCAAAGGAACAGACTGTCAGGTCACGTGCAAGTTGCCGGCGCTGCCCCAGCCAAGGGAGAGCCGGGGCCGCGCTGGAGCGGGTTTTGAACGCAGGCGCTGCTCTGGGGAGCAGGGCAAGAGGAGGGCAGGCTTCGGCTGGTCTTTTTTGTCCCCACTGGCCACTGACGGGGGGCAGAGGGAGAAGAGGTTCAACCAGAGCTTTCTTCTTGCTCGCCTTTGTCTTCAGAGAAAATGGGGAAGAAAAAGATCGTAAGTCGGTCCAGCTACAGAGCTTGGCAGGGGCTCAGGCTAAAACAACCGCAGTCTTTCATGCTGGCACTTTTAACAAAGATTTGCCTCTGCAGCAATCCACGGTGACTGTAATTCCCTCCTCTCTGCATTTCCAGGAGGAGAAAACTGGTGAGGAAGAGAAAGGACACACAAACTGGGCCTGGAATCTAGTTTCACTTTATTTTAGCAAACTGCGTGTTCTTCACTTATCAACATCTCTACATTAGCAATTGTATAGCTCTCCAACTTTTCTTTAAAAAAGGGTAAACAAGAGGTGACAAAACTCAGGCTCTTCATCTCTTAAAAACATTTCAAAGTTGGATTCAAGAAGACTTCTTACATATTTTGGTTTGAAGGTAACAGGTGTGGTGTGGAAACACTAATTCAAATCACCCGCCTAAGGGAGCACTACCCCTTGGGGAGCCCCTCTGGCGCCAGGCCAGCAGCAGGCGCCGCAGCCTCCCCTGCCTGAGGCCCTGACTCACCTCCAACAACCCGTGGGGGTCTGAGGGGGCCCGACCGTGCCGGCCCCTCAGCCCGGCGCTCTGAGGGCCGAGCAGAAGGAAGCTCCTCCGGGGCTCAGTGCCAGTGCTGTACGTACGCTGCTGCTTCACAGAAGCGTGAAGGACCTCGTCATGCAGGGGATCTAAGGGAGGACTCTGCTGCCGTTGGACCTTCCCATTAAAAATCTCATTCCCCCAATCATCCCGTTCCTGTTGTCTAAAGATACAAGGATCTTTTTCGAAGGATTTTTAAAAGCCGACCCTCCCCCCCCAAACCCAAGAGGAACACCATAAAATGTACAGATTATATACGTCCTAGGAAAGTCCTAAAATTATTGCGGAAACTAAAGATGACTTGTTCCAGGGGAGGGGCAGGCACGAGGCACAGCACTGAGATCTAACAATTGCTCGGGTTGGTTTGATTTAGTTTTCAGCTTTTTCCCCATCGTTCAAGAAAAAAAAAAAAAAAAAAAATTAAAGAAGTTGTTTAAGCATCAGAACTAAAATACAAATGCACGTTGACTTATAAAACAAGATTGTGGATTTGACCATGGGATTCCCTGACAGTGGAAAAATTTTACTTTTTTGCCCGGAGAGATTTCCTCATGGCGGATTTGCCCTTGGCAGAAGGTTTCACTTCCTTCCTCCCGCTGGGTGCTGGTTTCTTGGAGGAGCTGCCACCAGAGGGTTTCTTGATGGCTGGGGCTGCTGGTTTGGCTTTCTTAGCAGGGGTTTTAACCTTGGGAGGGGGCTTTGCTTTCCCCCGGCGGGCTGCAGGGGTTTTTCTTGGCTTGGGTTTGGACTCTCTTCGCTTCATCGGAGGGGCCCTGCTCCGTGATTTTGGAGGCGGTCTCTTCTGCATCCTGTCAGAGAGAGAGAGACAACACAAGATCTCAGTGCAGGCACAAATGCTACCCAGAGCAGAGCTGCTGTTGTCAATTGGCATAAACGAAGCAAGATCTTGGCATCCTTGTTCTTTACCACGGATGTTCCTTTATGCAGCAGTACATTTCATTAGCTAAATCTCAAAGAGCAAGAACTCCTGGTGGATCTCGCCAGGCTAAGCACTTCTCAATTCCCACAGTGCTCTGCCAGCGAGGTTTCAAACTCCTTCATTAGACATGTAACAATACAAATAATGACAAGGAATCAAAATCAATTGTCAGAACAATTCAGAGACCTAAGCACTATCTCCTCTCCAAATGGAATTTTATTACTTAATGAACAACACTTATTTTACATCCATATTCTAAGTAAGGCAGGTTTCACATCTGGCTACATAATTGCAATTAATACTGTAGGGAAAAGTTTTCCTACGGAAACACTTCCTAAATACAAAAAGTCCCATGTGAAACACCACACTTTTGTAAAGCACAAAAGGTGACTTCAGGAGACTGAAGGCAACACAAAGAATAAATACAGGCTGCTCTCTTCTCATCTGGAGCTAAAAAAAAAAAAAAAAAAAAAAAAAAAAGAGAGAAGCTTCAAATTATGGAATGGGGGAGATCCGGAGATCCGTATTGCTGGAGCAAGGCGTAACTAGAAACTTCTTCCAACACCTCTGAGCAAGAAGAGCCTTGGGGATAAATAACCACACCAAGAGGCAAACCTGTGTGCTCTACAGTTGTGACAGTCACTTTTATTTCATCCGATGGAGCCCACTTATCTCTACTGCTGCCATACCTCTTCTTTGGTGGTGGCTCTTCCTCCTCAGACTCTTCCTCTTCAGATTCTTCTTCCTCCTCAGATTCCTCCTCCTCTTCCTCATCAGATTCCTCAGAGTCCTCCTCCTGCTGCTTCTCTGGGTAGAGCACATCTGGGCTACAAGAGGGTTCTTGTCAGAGTGTGACTGACTTCTAAGGATATGACTCACAGGCTGGCGAGCCTTGGGTACCCCTGGCTCTCCCCTGGCACTGCTGCCCACCCTCCTGTCAGGTTACAGCTTTGAGCCTCATCCAGAAATACCCCCGAGACTTCTGTGTTTGCTGCTATTTGAAACCAACGTTACTTCGCCTCTGCAACGGCAGAAGTACAACAGCTTCTAAGTCACCAGGAATGCCCCAGCCCTAAGCTGCCCTTTCGCCGGTTCTCTTCCTCATTCTTCCTCCTGTGCAGACACAGGAAGGCAGACAACAAAGGGACACGATCAGACTTCGGTGACTCTGAACTCAGGCTGAAACCACTGAGGAACTTTGTATGTATGAAATAAAAGAAGATGGGGAGCAGGGACTTTAGTGACTACGCTGCCATTTGGCTCTTTGTGGGACACTAAGTCACCATCCCTGGGCTCCAGTGGCCCAGCACAATATGCACTCACAGCAGGAGAGGGAAGGCTGGTTTAGTCTCACAGTAGCTAATCTAGGTCATCTTCACTCCTCCCACCTCTCCTCCACATTGGCACTAAGAAAGGGAAACAGCTGGGTCCTGCTCGTTATCAGCATCCTTGCGTTAAGAACATCACCACACTACCTGCTCCCGTGAATTTGGTTTAGCATGGGAACACTTAAATAGTCCCCATCCTGCAAAAAAAAGCATCACAACAGAGTACCTGAGAATACCAAGCCAAATATTTTTATTGCCCTTAGAAGCTTCCCTTGCTAATGAAGTCAGCTTGTTGTCCACTCACAGTCAGACACCCAAGTAATGTCATTATCTAGAGTGAGTACAGGTGACAACATTGCAGCTCATCAGTTATTAAACCCTCCAGAAACTTCCCTGTAAATAGGAGGTTGGCCTACGAAAATCAGCACTGATACCTGGCTGACCTACGCGACACTTATCTTGAACATCGT